CAAGGCTGAGTAACCCCAGCTGGAGCCTGGATCCTCCAGCCAGCACAGGGATGGAGCTGGAGGGATCTAGAGGAACGTGAGGGGCTCAGGAAAGCAGCTCAGAGCATGCTGAGAGGACAAGGATAAACCTGAGAGCTGCCTGGAAGTGCTGCATCCCCACATGGAGCTCCATGTGCCACGGACTCGCTGAAAGGAGCCCCCTTTCCCCCGACATTAAAGCAGGCAAGACAACCAAATGCTTAAAAATARGCTTCCCTCTACCAAAATCTGTCAGAAGGAGTTAACCTCCTTTTCTTCCCATTGATTCTATCGTGTTCTGCCACACAAATCCTTCCCATCTGCTTAAGAGGAAGAAAAGGACAAATATACTCACAAAAGAAGAAAGGAGAATAGACTCTACTTCCTCCATTGCCCAGGAAAGGCATTTACTGACACTCATTTTGGGGCAGGGAAAGCACCTGGGGGAGCCTGGCTGTGCACAGCCCTTTGGCCACCTCTACTCATGGTTTCTGTTCTTTGTGTACCCTCCTGCACCTCATCTTTGCAGAAAAACAGCTCTGACACCTCACACATCACCCCTGCTCACCTCTGCAAGGATTTACTGAGGGCACTCACACTGCACTGACCTTGCACTCGGTGCTGTCCAAGTCAGGAGACACAGTCCCCACGTCCAGAACCTCCTCGGAAAGCTGGCTCTTCAACTCCAAATCCTAAACCAGAAAGCAGAAAGGATCAGTCTCTGGGGAGCAACCACAGAATGTGGCAATCCCCACACCACCCCAGGACAGCAGCATTTCCCTTCTCTGGATGGCCCTGTGGGACCAAGGGACATCAGTGCCACTCAGGCAGGACACTGTGCCACACCCCTTTTGTGCCACCAGCCTGAGAGGGCAAGGGTGGCACAGGGAACACCCAAAGGGGCACCTCATTCCCAGCCTGTCCTGCTGCACATTTCCTGCCCCATCATCATCCTCCCCTCGGTTCAATCCCCTCCTGGCACTCTGGGGGCCGTGCCCACACAAGGCAGAGCCTGTAGCTGGCACAGCTCACATCAGAGCAGTGAACAGGGATATTCTCAGCTCACACCAGCACAGTGAACAGGGATATTCTCAGCTCACACCAGCACAGTGAACAGTTGATATTCTCAGCCATTTTCTGGCCAGGCTGCCCCTGCTCCCACTGGCAGATGGCAAAGGCAGCTTCATGTGGAGAGCAGGAGATGCTGATGGGCATCTCCCCCACACCCCACAGCTCCCCACACCCCCTCAGCAGAAGCTGCTGAGCCCCTCCAAGCACCATTTTTACATTGCTTATTATTTTCCTTTTTGCAATTATCCAAGAACGCTCTCAGCTCGACGTGACCTACTTTTCCAGGGATATTGCCTCGCCCACCGACYCAGCCTGCGAGGTGCAGGGTGGCACTGCTGGCCACTCTGAGAGGGGGGCACAGCACCCACGGGCTGTGGCACAACCCCAGAGCACCCAAARCCCCCACCCAAGGGATAAAAGAGCTTTTTTTTGGTGACTCACCACAGGCTGAATGCATTTGGAGATGGGCGAGTCCTGCTCACAGCCACTGCCCCCGGATGCCTTGGAGAGCTGAGAGGAAAAATGAACATCCTGGATGTGAAAAATGGCACAGCCTGGACGTGAAAAATGACACAGCCTGGACGTGTCCCACCCCTGCAGCTTCACCTGGGCATTCCCAACACRGCAGCTGCTGCTGGGGACACAAATCTGGCCACTCTCAGGGAACAGAGGGTGACTGAACAGCACCAAGGATGGGCGACCACAGGACAAACACAAAACCGCACAGGAGGGATGGGGAGGGCAAAGRAGTGCTCTTCAAACACCCCTGATAAAAGGCACTTGCTGCTTCTCCATCTGCAAGGATCTCTGCAGCTCTCAGAGCTCCCAGCCCACCACAGAGCAGCGCTGGGGCCATAAAAGCAYTTTAAAATTCCATTTTGCTGGGCCTAAGTGCAGCGAGGGCTCCTGCATTCCCAGGGTGGGAACACCCTGCTGACCTCAGCAGAGCAGCTCAGGTGCACAAAGCACACGGAGGAGTTGGGGAAAGCAACGCTCTCAGCTCTCCAGGGCAGGATTTCCAAGCTGGGTTTTGCAGTTTATCATTTCTTACAGACATCACGCATCAGCGAACTCGAGAAATCATCAAAATCAGCAGGAAGGCGGCCAGATTGGAGAGAGATCGTTCATCAGATCCCCAA